GACTCACCTTCGAGTTGATTGGTGAAAATGTGTTTTTGCCAATTTTCTATGGTAATGTTTTTGAAACCACTCCTTTCTCTGTATGGTCATGAGATTCTAGTTGTTGTTCATCAATGCATTAAGTTACATTTTGCTGCTGCTTTTATCCAAAGCGAATTACAATAAGTGCAATAAACCATAAAGATTCAAACAAAGGACCACAAGAACAGTGCTGAGATATTCACTCCCAACAAGCAATAACTTTGTAAGTGCTGGTGCATAAGTAAAACTCTAAAGTGTGTTTTATTATTGGATTCTTTCATCTTTCTGTAGTCCTGTTGAGTCTTATTGTTAGCACAAGGTAAGACGGTATGCTCTCGTTAATCCTAGGCACCAAGTATTCACAACAAAATTGAATGATACATTTAAAAATATAAACTGAAATGCCAACAAGAAACAAAAATGGCTGCCACAGGTTGATAAAGCACAATTGTTATAAAAGCATGGTTGCATTCAACAAGATTGTGATGTAATAATAAATGCTGTTGGAGCCCGACATGGTGGATTTCTCCTTGACTCTCTTGACACTTATGGCGCGTTTCCACTACAGCGCGGAGCACGGTTTAAGAGGGCTGTGACGTCAGCGGCCCGTCTTTGGTTGCGTTTCCACTTGGCCTAGTACCGGCCGGCGGGTCCTAATTCACAGTTTTTCTGGCCTCATAAAATCGTGGGTCTAGGGCCAGAGACAACGAGGCTGAGTCGGGCTGAGTATGCTAAACTAGAGAGAGCATCGCTGGCAAGGGGGCTACAACTACAACAAGATGGACATATTTGACCGTGATTTAATTGTAATACACGTTTCAAAATGATGCCGAAGTAACAACATACTGATACCGGTTAGTAAAAACCATGAATTAATGCTTTGACAAGTCTGCAGACAGACGGCAGGCGAAAAACCTTTTAAAATGCGTGTTTTCTAAATGGAGATTGGCTAAGCTAACGCAGTATATGCTCCGACCGTCCACACTCACAACAACGGCCTATACAGACATAAATAAAGCAGCGACTGTATTCGCCATGACACAGGCAGTCTGTGGTGTGTACTTGTTTAACTTTTGTCTAGTTTCTGAACATATATAAGGAGCTGTGAGCTCTGAGTGCTAACAGCTAACGGCTGTGTTGTTTTTCTGGGGTTCTCATTGAAGATGACGTCACGGCTCCGCCTACACTGCGTTACTATAGATACTACCCCAGTTCCTAAACTGTAATGGAAATGCGCCATTAAGTGAGCCAGTCCTAACGAGGCCTAGCCATACCGAGCGGGGCCGAGCGAGGCCGTGTAGTGAAAACGCGCCAATAGATGAGAATAATTTTCATCAAACATCACTTCAGTGCAAAGTGTGGCACGTTAAAGCAGTTTTATCTTTTGATAGATATGTGTCAAGTAGTCTTCATAACAAAGCTTAGGTAGTATATTGTAATGCTGTTCAAAAGCTTAACAATAACATTTAAACATTTAATAGATAGCCAAGTTTGACACAAGTTTGTATCGTTAGAAATAGTTGTATTATTTATATGTGAAACATATGACACACACCTCTATAACACAGAAACCTAAATATGTGTGGTACTCATGTTACTATTCTTTTCCTCTTTATTTTCTGTTTACTTTACATGATAATTTCACTGAAGAGCCTAACCAATCTACATCTGTAGATTGACAAAATGCCCTGATGAAGGCCTGTGTTACAAACGTTGTTATTAAATATCTCTGACTGCAAGTGAAGAGCACAGTGTGTGGCAGTCTTTTGTTCAACATGAACTTTTAACTAAAATGTTATGTGCAGATGCTCCAGGGCCTTATATTAGCCAAGATACAACTAGCAGCATCCTCCCTCCATGTTTGTGCCTACTAATAAAGTACATCTCCACAGCTCACAGGGGTCGGGAAGCAGACCGCCTTGTGAATAGTAAACTTGGCTCCAGTGGGACATTTCTTCTCTTCCGAATCCTGAGCAAAAGGGAGCCCAATGAGAGGTCTGACACCCCCTGATGGATGGGTTTTCATGACAACCTGCACAACTAAACAAGTAGCTTAATGCTTAATGATTGAAAGAAAGAAATAGAAAATAAATGAATAAACAACCAAAATTAACTCCACACATAGTCATACTGCACAAAAACTGCTTTTGTGTTCTTGGAAGATGATGGAGTTTAACATCCTTGCTGAGAGCATATATAAAACCACAGGTATTGTTTACTCACCCAGCAGCCAACATGGTACACCAAAAAGGTGACTTGCTGTGTACTGTAGCAGAAAATATAACACTAACAGAAAACGCAGCAATTTTCCAGAACCTTCAACAACACCAAGACAGGGTTTCATACAAGGTCTTGGCAGAAAAGTCCAAGTCTAACTTTCTTTAGGCTACTACTATTACTTACTTTTGTAAACACTGTTATGAATTTAGGCAGTCATTGAGGGAACATTAAAAGTGAAAAATATATAATATATAAATATCAGAAAATGAAATGCTGAGCAGACACACTGGCAACTGCATACTTAAAGATTGTTTTGTTGTTGAACCTGTGCTTAAGGTAGTCAACAGATGCATGATGGGTATAATTAGTTATGTCGTGTGAGGGCTAAAAACATGGGTGTTCTCTTGGATTACTGGTCTAAAATTCCATCAATCACAACGTCCCTGTTCCGTTTTCACTGTCAAATAAACACAACCAAAGGCACATATCATTAGTTTCAATATATTAACCAAGAATTATGTTATACAATAGGGGTTAGATTTGACTAACAGTATTTTGACTGTGCTTTATGTTAGCTCTGCTTTTTCTGAAGGGCAATCGAGTAGTCTAAATTTAAAAAAAGATTGGCGTATGGATCAATAAAAAACTAAGATGTATCTGTTGTGGTGTTTTGAGATTTTATTTTTTGCTGATTGATAATACTATTTGTTCCACTATATATAGTTTCAATCACTAGTAAATCTAACAAAGCTGATGTAACTATGCAATCATAGTATGTCTTTGCTCGCGTTGGGTATTAGTTCCTAATCCTGCAGCAAAGCACATTATCCACTTTGATTATCTGCTGCCACCTACTGTCTCTAGGGTTCAGTACAGGAGTATTAACAGTGATCTGTGAATGCCTACAATGCCTGTGAACTGTATTAAATGTACTTTAAAACAAATAATAACCTAAAAACATTTACACAAAAATAAGGTTTTTGTGTTGTTGTTGTTGTTGTTTCAGAAAAGAAACTAGATTTAAGTAGGATACTATCTGGAAACAAAATATGTTTCTGTGAAAATGAAGTTTGGGGAAAGTTCATTCGGTTTAATAGTATATTCATTTTAGATAATGGTTTGAATACATCTGATGATAGAATGTTCAGCAGGAATACAAAGTGACTGATAAGAACCGTCCTCCACAACCGGAATATTTTCACAAAGTTTAATTTATTAGTTTTAAATCAAATTATTTAAAAAACCTTTATTATGAACAAAGAAGAAGAAAAATGTAAATACAAAGACTATACACCTGTTACTGTAGATAGGCCTTTATCAGAACAGTAAGAATCTAAACCAAATAACTGACCACAATAAAGCTAAATAATAAACTAAGCTACATTAGTTTTTATTTTGAAAACATGACTGCTAGACCTGAAAAACTGGCATGATTACAACACTCAATACAACCATTGACCCCATAACAAAACTTCTTTGTAAAGAATAAAATCATCAGTCTTTTTGTCACTCCTGCTTTTCACTATTGTTCTGGTTCTTTACTGTTCAAACATCTGCTGTTCGTTTGTTCGTTGTAAGACATGTCATTACTCACGTTTCCTGTTTCTTTTCTTTGGCTGCCTGTAACATTTATAAATTAGTTGCTGGACTTGCCGGCCAAGTTAGGGGCACAGCAAAGCTTAGAGCATGTTGCTAACCTTATAATTAATCTAAAGTGCACTCTCAGCCCTTTAAGCTAAACTGTTGTTTTACAATGAAAGATAAACGGGCCAAGACCTTTTTTTTATTGGATTGCATTCTATTGTATTATTGATATATTGTAATATTCGTTATTGTTTGTTATTCACCTGTCCTATGTCTGGTGAAGTCTATACCAGGAAATGCATGTCATATAAAAGCAGCCTGTGTTGTTGCCTTGGAGCAGGAGGGGAAGGACAGCTCGTTAAAAGGGCAGAACACTTCCTGATAGACACTGCATACTGGATTTATAGCATCTCTCCATCAACTGAAGGTATGAAAACCTTTTTTTTTAAACAAAAGACATTAAACATAGCCTACATAGCCTAATCAAGAAAAAACTATGTTTGTCAGGTAATATTTAAAACTAAAAACATATCTTCTATATAAAAGGGTAAATGCAACCGATAGAGTTAGACTTGCAACGTAGTGCACCGTACAACATATTTAATATTATTACTATTTTGATTAGCAAGAGCTCATAAACAGTTTTTATTAATAAAGCGAGAACAATATGGACACGAAACTACGCCACTACTAGGAATATGTAGTCAAAGACACTTTCCATGACTATCTCTTTAAATGTAAATGTTAGTTCAAACGAGGAAGTCGTGCTTGGAAACACTTCCGGCTTTGCATCTATCTTCAAGATTAAAACAGTTCAAAGCATTTTAAGATTTAAAGATTAGACAAATGGATGGGCTAACACACAAGGTATGCATTCTGATCTGGGCCATGTCAAAACATATTTGCCATGCTACTTCTGAACTGTCCCAGCGATAACACGATAACAAATACAATTTGCATGGTGTCTAAATGCAAATTGTATGAATGATTTTGAATGCATACTTTTTCTGTGTATGAAAAGGCACGACAGGGGTTTTGTATATATGTTGTTCAAAAGCTGTACAGTTGGTCTCACTTTGTATTGTCATTTTTAACTGGAATTACATATCTCATACTCAAGAATAATTTGGTTTGGCTCGAGCTAGGATTTGTGTAGATGAGCTTTTATTCTGAAAATCTAAATCGGAAGTCGTTTTGTTATGGCTGTTAGCCGAACAAAGTCGTCATGTTTGTACCGTGTAGTTAGCACTGCTGGTCATGTAGCTACATACAAGCTTATGTAAATGCTGCAGTTTTTACACAGAGTGTCTCTATTTTTAACCATGAACAGGACCCAGCTGAAGCGGTCCAGTATCCTGAGGATGGCTCTAGCCGGCTCGGAAACGATGTACCCGGACGGCCATGGAGAGACGTTCATACTCCGGGCCGTCCGGATAGGAGCTGTGGTTGCACTGTACTGGTTTGTCTCCATAACAATGGTGTTCCTCAATAATTATCTGCTGGACAACCGAGAATTGGACGCACCATTGTTTGTCACGTTTTACCAATGTTTGGTGACTGTGGGACTGTGCTGGCTCATGCAGCTGCTGTCCAAAGTGTGCCCGGGTCTCATCGACTTCCCGTCGGTCAAATTTGACTTGAAGACGTCCCGGGAGGTCCTTCCGCTGTCCATTGTGTTCATCAGCATGATCACCTTCAACAACCTGTGCCTGAAACATGTCGGAGTGGCTTTCTACACGGTCGGTCGTTCTCTCAGCACAGTGTTTAACGTGCTGTTGTCGTACATCATCCTGAAACAAACCACATCACTTCAAGCCATAATGTGCTGCGGGGTCATACTAGGTAGGTTAACGGTTTTTTCCCCCGTAGGGTGTGTGGATGATATCGCAGGGTTTTATCTCTATACTAGATTAATAGTAAGGTGAATAATTTGGAAACTATTATTGACATGTGCTGAATAACTAAAAATAAAACAGTTTCTTTAGTAGATGTGTCAGAAATCTATTTATCTTCTGCATTATCCTCAAGCCAGTCAAGTTTTTCTACACCAACCCCAGAAAACAGTTGCTCTCATTGTTTTGGGGAAATAGTAAAAAGGGCCTACTTTTAGCTTTTGCAACAAAGTTTGAAGCAAAGTATTGTCTTAAACTTAAATGGGGCCGAAACAATGAACAAGTGGATAGAGTTGTATACTTACTGTTTGAAATACTCGATACATTGTTTACAATAACATGACAACCCTATTCAAAACCTATATTAATACAAATCTGGAGTAATATACTATTTAATAACTTGTATGACTTAAAAAAATACTAGAATGAAAGATTTTGGCATATTTCTGATTTAAAACTCAGCAACTTGACTGTTCAAGTGTTGAACACATGCTTTATGTGTATGTAGGCCTGTCGCCCTTCACAGCGCGCCTGGCTAAAATGCTGGTCACATCCTTATGTAAACAAACACGCATGTAAATGGCAATTTATCGAGCTCAGAAAAGTTATTGAGTCCATTTTTATTTATCGTACGATAAGTCAATTTATTGATTATCGCGACAGGTCTATGTGTATGGTGTTCTCACAGTCCTGCTTGTGTCCATGCTTCTCAGGTGGATTCTGGCTTGGTGTGGACCAGGAAGGCATGACGGGGACCCTCTCCTGGACAGGCGTCTTTTTCGGGGTGGTGGCCAGCGCATGTGTCTCTCTGAACGCCATCTTCACCAAAAAGGTGATGCCAGCAGTAGACGGAAACATCTGGAAACTGTCCTACTACAACAACATTAACGCCTGCGTCCTCTTCCTGCCGCTCATTCTGTTGTTCGGAGAGTTGGGCAGTCTGGCCAGCTTCAGCCGCTCCTCTGACCTCAAGTTTTGGGGCATGATGACGCTCGGAGGAGTGTTTGGTTTCGCTATCGGCTACGTCACAGGCCTCCAGATCAAGTTTACCAGTCCACTCACACACAATGTCTCAGGTACAGCAAAGGCCTGTGCTCAGACTGTCATTGCGGTGGTGTACAACTCCTCCAGTAAAAGCCTGCTGTGGTGGACCAGCAACATGCTGGTTCTTGGGGGCTCTTCAGCCTACACTTGGGTCAAAAGTCTAGAAATGAAGAAGACTCCACAAAGAGTCCCTCCCGACTCAGCGAAGGAAAAACTGCTGCCAGGGGAGAAAGGCAACCTGGGAGTTTAACCATTTTAAGTAGCCTGTGAAATATTTTACTTTTATACATATGACGTGAGAATATGAAGTAATGTAAGCTTCAGAACCTGACTGATTCAAATTTGTGGTTGGGTTTAATAGTTTGTGTTTTTTTAATGTTTGACTTGAGGCCTGAAGGATTTTTTATTTATAGTTTATTTAAAGCTGCTCACATGCAATTGGGGCCTTTTTACATTATTATGTATAACACAATAATGTATCTTTTATGTAGTCTACAAGTGAAGAGGGAACAAATCATGTTTTTATTGGTAGGGATGGTATGCTGATATTAAGTGTTGGCATCATAGCAAAAAGAAACTTTCTTTTATTTTTTTATTATGATTCTAAAATCTGTAGTGTATGTCACTATCTTGTTTTTTAAGGTTTTTACGGTATCATCTGCCTAACAACATGTCTGCTTTCTTAAATAATAACGAAGCCAAGACAAATTGATTTATAATCTTCTGCGGTTAGGTAACCTAGGTAACCTTACTTAGGTAATCATGAACCTTGTTTGAGAGGGACTGACACAATAGGCCTTTCATTTCTAGAGAAAACACTCCTTCAGCATTTCAAACCATTTCATGCGCTTCAACAGCATATGATGTTTCTGAGCTGGTCACATTTTCACCTGTTTACGCAGGTGATGGCACTAGGTCTATGAAAATATATTTGCATTTCAAAACAAAAGTGGGACACAGAGACACGTGACAAAATATCTAGTCAAAGGTAACAGGCAGCCATGTACACACCTTAGTCTTTTCAACTGTCGTTCGCACTTTCTTTGTGACGTACCAGGCACCTCTTTTACCAACCTGAAAATGCAACTGTCTCTTTTTAAAGCCCAGCTTTTTTCAAATGACTTTGAATTGCTGTGACATTTCAATTGAACTCCAAGAGCCAGGGAGCCTATTTCAAAGAATACATTAAAGATGATGTACATTTAAACTCTTTTCAAGTGTTCTCTTTTTGAACAAAGTGAGTTTTATAATTTGTTTGCACATATGTTTTGGTAATTCTGTCAAAATAATGTTTTTATATTGTATCCATCTTAAATTAAAGTGGACCTATTATGCTATATTTGAATAATATAGTGTAGGACCATACCTATATAAGGCATATTTATACTTTTTTTTTTTCAAAATACCAAACAGATCATGCATTTTAGCCATGCCTCATTTTGCTCAATTTGACATTTTTTATCCCTGTTTTTGCAAGGGCAGATTCAGTGAGAACAGCACCATCTACAGGCCTGGCATATGTACTACAGCGTCTCCAGCGCTTTTGAACGGCAATGGCCGTGGCTGTCTCCTCCTGATTGGTGGATTTGGCCCAATAGCCGTAGCGCCACCGTCCTGGCGTCAGGACAGTGTTCAAATCTGGATCAGTTTTTATCAGATCCGTTGCAGCCCCTTTTTTAGAGATTTGGGTATGGAGGAAAATAGAGAGGGTTGTGTTTTCTGACACTTGGTGAGTTCCCTGGAACACCGTGGACACATATTCATGTATAAAAGATGTACAAAAGTGCATTTTGCATGATAGGTCCCCTTTAAGAGACAGTAGACTGCCATTCAAGAGTTTCAAAAATCCTATATTATTCTGATATTGTATTTGTTCTCACATGATAGCTATTTTTAACAGCAGTGAATACAATATAGTACAAATACCCAATGTATTAACTGAAATGGTCTTTGCCCCCATAAAATAGAATACAATTATTACAAACTTTTAATGGTTTTAATATGTTGTTCAGTACAGAAAAGCTCAATGGGCCATAGATCATTATGTGATATCTGCCATCTACTCTTTGGTAAGATAAAATAGGTTTACTGTGATTGATAGTCCGTAGTATGTTGAGCTGAGATTCCCTGATTCAGTTGCGACAGTGTTCCAACCTTTCTATTTTAAGTGTGATGTTAAAAAACAACGCTAAAGAAACAGAAACATGCCTTTTATGCCTACTAGAGGCATTATTGTTCACTCTCATCCTCAGATAATTTCTCATCTGTGGTTGTATTTTAATTGTAATATAATCATTCAAAACCAGAACTTGTGAGCGTTGATAATGCTGTAGGTGGTGGTTTTAGGCACTTTGATGTTAAAACAACACATTGATTGTTATCTTAAAAAAATCACAATGTATCAGCACACACACCACTGGATGCCAGTTTTCAAGGTGACAAATGCTTGGCACACGGAGCAGTTGGCCACATGCAGAGGTGTCTGATAAGTGAACATTTGAACACCTCCCTCCTGCTGGAGTTAATGTTTAATATGAAGGCACAAGAACAAAGCAATGACTCCTCAGTGAAAGCATTGTTAATGTTTTTATGACCACAATGACGCAAATAAGGTGTTCATCCTCAGAACGGCTGGAATGAATACATACAAAATGAAAGGATACAAAAGGAATAAACATACTTATAATTTACTGAAATTATCCCTTTTTAAATCACCAGTAGGATTAGGTTCAAACAAAGCTAGTACATTGTTTAGTATGATTTGGGGCAATACATTACCACCAAACAGCTGTTTGAATAAAGAAAACTAAGTAATATATGTTTACCTTTTTTGGTTTGAGACTGCAATCCAAAGAGGAGTGAAATTAGATATTACTTAGTCTTAAAGCAGCTTGATAAAACATGACAAAAAGCTCAAATTGATTATGTCTGCCGGCAAAGACATACATAGATAATTGCAAGTAACTGCTTCAAAAAGATATATCTTCATAATCCTGGCTATACTGCTGGCTTCATTTGAGATGATGAGGTGTGTTTTAGTCCGATGTCCCTCATTTTTGTCACTATAGACCAGGGGCGTCGCCTGGACCTGAAAACATTCGGGGCTTAGCCCACAGTGGCGGCGGCACTACAGTGGCATTTTTCACTGCAACACTCCCCACACGCACACACACAGTACACCCGCGACTGTTACAATGAAGGCTCGATAATCAGCTCATGGCATATAGGCAGGGGTAAAGTGGTATTTTTTATGAGTGGGGGGCTCACCTCCTCTAGTGGGGTCCGGGGGGATGCTCCCCCGGGAAGATTTTTTTTTAAATATTGAAGTTAAATGCATCAATCTGGTGCACTTTGAGAGCAAAATGAAGAGATCTATGGATACCTCTCTCAACACCCATATGAAGCAGAACTGTAAACAGATGTACTTTTTCTTTATGGATATTTTACTAATCACTCCCCTTTTAAACTCTATTCTTGTTTTACTGCCATATAGTATTTCATAACTGTTTTTCCTTTATTCTCTTATTTTTTTTATAACTATAATGATCATATGAAGGTGTGCCTCGGAAATAATCTTTTGAATCATTTGTGACCGAACCGTTTGAGACCCACTGAGATAACTTAAGACTAAAGTTAACTATCTAAACACTCAGAGAGTCCTTTAGCTCACCTAAGTCTCTCAATCTGAGAGGAGAGGACTCTCCTCCAGCTTGTTGTGGAACAAACAGCTCCTTATGTCCGTTAGTGCAGCTAGCTAACCAGATGCTAACAACACGGACCCTGCTGGCACCGGTTCCTCCCTCCCCCTCTCTCCCTCTCTCTCTCTCTATCACACTAAATGCGCTATTGCCACACACACAGAGCCGAGCTTGAATGACACAAGCACACGTTTATTTCCATGCAACTCTCTGATTGGTCTGGTGTCATGCCTCTGTTGCATTCACTGAACACGGGAAATTACAGTGCTGCCGTCCTCTCTTGTGTCATGATGAGGTTCACGTACGTAAAGCACGGTTAATGTATTATATTATTGAGGGAGAATTGTCCGGGGCTACAGAAAAAACATTCGGGGCTAAAGCCCCGGATGCCCAGGCCATGAGACGCCACTGCTATACAGTGGCGTTTTCTCCCGGAGGCCAAGGGAAGCCAGGCTTCCCCTGTTTTTTCGGATTGTAGTTATAATTTAAATAAATAAATAAAAACACTTTGTTTTGTTTCGATAATTCTCCTTTGCTGTGTGTTGCTGCCGGCCCGTCTCTCCCCCACTCTCATTGAGTATTTTACAAAGAGTGAAACAAACAGCGCCCCTCTAGATGTTATGGTGAAACAGTAGATTGCATTCACTGTTGCGAGAGGAGGCCAGCCGGATCGGGCTTCCCTTGGTGAAAACAAATTGAGGGATTGACCAATCAGATGAGGCCCACGTGATGCCCCTGCCAACCTGTGATTGGTCAGGGCCATGCCAAGGGAAGCCAGCTTTCTCTGGCTTCCCTTCAGAGGCGGCTGGCGGCTGGCGATTTGATTGGACACTGCCATCCAATCGATCACCTGAATAGATGAGATTGTTTATATTTTTTAGTTACTTTTGGACTACGGACTGAGCTAATTACAGAGACGAGGACTGTTGCTGCACTTGCCGTGTGTTAGAAAGGGAAGGGAAGAAAAGGTGGACTATCACATGCAAATGTTTCTGTACATAATTGTTTTTGAATTCATGTGCTTCATACACGCCTACTGATACTTTGATGTGAACGTAAAACTTTAAAGGTCTCCTGATTTACTTTGTGAATGAATGCTTTTTTTTATTCATTACCGAATCTGCACTGCGCATTGAGCGGCTGGTATTGCATTTGGGGGGGGTGGTGTCTGCATAAATTAATAAGAAAATGCTTAAATTAATAAGACGAGAGAGTTTCGGTTGGAGAGTGCGTGCGGACCTGTCGGTTAGATAACAGGCGTGTGCAAGTCCTGCATCTGTGTGATACAAATGTGTTTAAAATGATACCGGGCGCTGTAATCACTCATCTGGTTACGTTATTGACCACCCCCCCCCCCCCCCCCAACCCAAAAAAATGGGCTTCCCCTAAATTCTTCCCCACGCCACGCTACTGCTGCTATAGATAATTGTCGGTAGGTATTGTCACACTATGGAGCTGAGCAAGGTCAGTGGAGCACTGCTGGATGAGAGTCTCTGGGGATACTTGTCAGAGCAACAGGGGGGCTAAAAATAGCTGACAGAGCTACACGGTCAATTACATGTACCAGAAAAACACTGGTTTCTGATGTCAGGAACTCATTTCAACAGTTAATGGGCAATGCAATTTGTATAACTGTATCATAATGTGTAAAATACAATTCATTTTAAAGTTCAAGTTTTTATCCTGAACTTTGAAAAATACAATGATGTATTCAAACCAAAAATAAGTATTTGAAATAATTGTTCAGGTTGAATATTATTTTTGATTCAGTTCAGCAATTTTTTTGAATAAAATATTTGTTTTCATATTTCACTTTTATACATATTTTGATATTTGAATCCTTATTTTTTTTGAGTTGCAGATTTTACGTTTTCAGATTCAAAATAATAATTTTTTCAGTTTCAAACTTGTTTTTTCAGGTTTCACATTGCTTTTTGCCTTCAGATCGTTTTTCACTTTCAGATATTTTTTTTCGCTTTCAGATCTTTTTTTTCACTTTCAAACTTTTGGCCCTGATGTTGCTTGGGGGGCGGGGCTTACCAAAGAGTAGTTTGGCATCCTGAGTGACAGGCATCCCTCTGTCATGTTGCCTTCATGGATGTTAGCGCGAGAAATATAACTCAACACTTTCTATACAATACTCCCGTGATTGGTGGTAAACAAAACTGTCAGCGTTCCGTTGAGCATCGTAGTTGGCAACAGTCGAGGTATAAGAGCAATAAACTGCTAGAATGTGAAATTATGTATCCACAATTAAGCGTTGTCCTTCCCCACTTCCACGTAGCTCAATGAACGCAGCATAATATTGGCTTGGTTTTTGCGATCAGAATCTGAATTTATTAGTCCCACTGTCCCCACAGGGGATACATTTACATTGTTACAGCAAACAAGAGCCAAAGACAGCTTAATGTTACCTAAAACATGCATAAAAAAAGTATGAAAGATTAAAAAAAGAAATGTTAAGTTTTAAAAAAGTTACACATTTTACATAATACACACCCTGTAACAGTTAT